GATCATTTGTACCATAAACCCATTTTCTTTAACAATTACAATGTTTAAGATTATTATTTTTCAAATACATATGCAAATCCTTACTTAACTTCGACTGAATTATTGATATTAGCATAATTACAAATTATAGTTATTTTATTTTTCTCCTTGCAGTTTTATTGGCGAAGAAGAAATTTTATTGCGAAACCCCTACTTAAGGATGCCAATATTGGAGCTATAATATTAGAAAATCCGTTTTATGGAGTAAGGAAGCCCGATCAACAAGTGTAATAAATATATTTCCATAATTCGTTAGCGTACCAATTCGTTTTCGGTCTTACTCTGCATAACAGTCGTGGGTGTTAATTTAAATTATTGCCTACTTGGAATAATTTTTATTTTGCCTCATAAATTATTATTTGAACAAATATACTATATATGTACTCGCACATAAGATTAATATAAACATTTTAGGCGCTCAAATTTACAAAATGTGTCTGACATATTTGTGATGGGTGGATGTCTAATACTCGAATGCTTGGTTTTACTGCATTGGTGCGAAAGGAATGGACTTGGGCCACTAGGCATAACTGGGTTATCCATGGGTGGGCATGTATGTAAACTATTGATTATGATTTTAAATCTTTCAATACGTTTTGTTCATTTTAGATGGCTTCATTGGCGGCCACAAATTGGCCAAAACCTCTTGTGCTGGTCCCATGCCTTTCATGGTCTACTGCTGCGCCTGTATTTACAACTGTACGTGTGTACAAAGAAAAAAGAGATTCCTTGATTAGAAAATTAAAACAGTATATAGATACACATATTTTTTGTTAATTTTTCATTCCTTTTATCTTCCTCAAGGGCGTGATGAGTCAATCCATAAATTGGGATATGCTTGAAACGCAATACCATTCCGATGGTAAATATAGTGAACGTTTGTCAAAGATGGTTACCGTAGTGGATGATGCTTTTGCGGCTGGCCAAAAATTTATAAAAAATTTTAACCAATCATTGCAAGCGCTCAAAAACGATATCAGTGATACAAGACACGTTCAGGAGCAAGTGTCTGATAAAATAGGCAATAAATTCATAGAAATCAACAATACAAATAAGGCAGAAAGCAATAATTCAATTTTCCTAAATTCAAACATGAGAAAGGATGTTGTCAGCAATAAGGGCAGTCTCCAGTTTATGAGTGAAAAATCAAATAAGGCCCTGAACACCGTACTTCAAGTGCAGAAGGAACAATCAGCTTTAACAAAACTAATGAAGTTTATTTTACCAATGGCAGCACAAAGTGACAATAAACGAATAGATATAACAAAAACAAATTGGTGGGAACGGGAAGCGTTGCAATTCATGCGTGGCATGATGGATGAATGCACACATCTAAAAAATTTCTCTGTACCTTTTGATACATCTTTAATAATAGCTGTTTGTGCCAAGGATGATGCTTACGTGCCACGTGAGGGGTGCACAGGACTTGAAGAAATTTGGCCTGGAGTGGAAGTACGATATCTTGATGCAGGCCACGTGAGTGCCTACGTCTTGCATCAGAAGCTATTTAGGTGATTCGACATTATCTATAACAAAAAATGTTATGCCACTTTCTTACAATTTCAGATGTTGTATAATTGAGGCGTTCGAGAGATCAAAGAATATTTACAATACGGACAACGGAAGGATAGGTGAAGATCTGAAACCAACGTTAACATATAAGGAGCTTGTTAACAAATATACAAATTCAATTTAATATTTTTATGATGATATACACAGTTTTTATTACCCGATTTACTCAAACGCAAATATAATGTTAAGCCATTTTTATTACCTTGTTGTGTGAATAAAATTTTGCGGTATGAGCGCTGTAACCGAGTTTTGTAAAAAGTTAAAGTTTAAAATTTTAATATATTATTTATATATGCATTTTCGTGTTTAAATGTGTTGGGAAAATATTTATGCATATAACGCAACTTTAACATATGTACTTAGGGAAATCTATATCGTTACCTTAATATAGAAAGGCCTTAACTCATTTTCATTTCGAGTCCAGTTCTATACAAAATCTGCCAATTAGCTAACAATATATCTAACAGAAATTGAAAACAAATATAGCGTTAGATAAAACATTGTTTTTAATAGAAATCAGCAGTTCTACGAAATTTGCAACTGTAGATCTTTACTTTTCTCTAAATTTTCAAACTATGTTTGAAGAAATAGAAATGTGAGATATTTCTTTAATAATTATTGTAGTTGTTTCCCAAATACAATATATATATCGTTACGCTCACCCTCCATCGATCACAATATGATTTTTTTTAATTTGAGAATTGTAGGTATTCTACATTTATGCCTAAAAAGGCAAATGGACAAGGTAAGAATGAAACGTAGCTCATATAAGGTAAATAATAAACAATTGTATGCAATTATTTACCAAGGTGTGTTCATGAAAGAATGGGGATAAACATAAATTTAAGCAATTTATCCCTTTATCACTTTACATGAAGACCCCTATTAAGTTTTACGGCAAGTTTTCCAAAACATTTTGGATTCACATGAACACAACCAACCGATTAACATTAGACTCGATAAATCGGTCGATTATCGATAGATGCTTGAAAGTGTTGTCGGCGGCTTGTGTAACCAGCGGAAGATGCCATTTTGTCAATCGAATAAGATCTGGAAAGAACACCATTGCGTTACAGCAGAAAAGAATTGGGAGTGATTTTTTACCATCCATCACTCAAAATTAACAACAGAGTAGTTGAAAGAGTCCCTAACATCTAGAAAAACATCAACATTGTAAAAAGCTAGCGAAAATTCGTCGAAATCCGGTTAATAAGAGGATAGAAAAAAAGTAGGTACGGAATTTTTGTGAGCTGAAAACATGGCAGACTCAGACAAACAGCTACCGATTGAGCAGCAACAGCAACAACACCAGCAGGATGTCCAACAAGGTGATGCTGCTCAGACCCAATTGAAGTCGCTGCCACCAAAAGAAATCATTGGTAATTTTTGCAAATTATATGATGTGACATGTGTTGGTTAGTGTTGGTTAACAAGAGGGTGGCGGGGTGTACGTGATGGCAAACTATTTTTTTTTTTTCTTTTTGTTGAACAAAAACTAAGGTGTAACAAGGCTATTGAATATGTTTAAATTAAAGATATGCATAGCATGTTTTTCACACTGACATACATTTTTGCATCGTGCTATGGCGCTGAAAATAGAAACATTTCACCTAAATACACGCACGACGCCATTTTGTTGGTGCAATGTACGCGATCGCCGGTGCGTGAAAGTTCTGTTCGTGTACCATCCGGTCACAGCTGTCTTTTTTTTGTTTTTAAAACAACGTGGTTAACCATTTAAATTTAAAGCATGATTTTTTTTTAGTCACATAAATGAACATGAATGAAATTATTTAATTTAATTTTTCAATTTTCAGCTACCAAAGTAACAGGCACCGTGAAATGGTTCAATGTAAAGAGCGGTTATGGTTTCATCAACCGAAATGACACCAAGGAAGATGTGTTCGTTCATCAGAGCGCCATTGCAAGAAACAATCCGAAAAAGGCAGTACGTTCTGTTGGCGACGGAGAAGTTGTGGAATTCGATGTAGTCATAGGCGAGAAGGGCAATGAGGCTGCTAATGTGACTGGTCCATCCGGTGAACCGGTACGTGGTAGTCAATTTGCAGCAGACAAACGTCGGAATTATCGTCCATGGAATAATCGCAATCGCCGCAAGCCACAGGGTGGACAAGGACCTGACGGGAATGTACAACAGGGTGCCGAAGGTGAAGTCAGACCGGACGGTCAACAGCAACAACAACGTCCGCAACGTAATTATCGCCGTGGAGGTGGTCCTGGTGGTCCTGGTGGCCCAGGTGGTCGTGGCGGTCGTGGCCGTCGTTTCAATAATTACTTTCCCCGAAACCAAGGTAGACGCTCAGGTGGCGGCGAAGGGGGATTGATAGAGGGCGGTAATGACCAGAACGCTGACTCCACACAAAGGGGCGGTGATGGTCAAGGTTTGCCCGCACGACGTGGAGGCCCACAAAGACGTTTCTTCCGTCGTAACTTCAACAATGGCGGCGGACGACGTGGTCCACGCGGAGATGAAGGTAAGCAGAAACAGAAGGAGGACGAGTTTAAATTTTAGTCAACAGTAAACAAATACGTTACCCTACTTGCGATATTTTTTTTTACTCAGTTATAATTTTTTCATCTCTGGTGATTGTTTTACAGGCAATGGTGGACAAGGTCCTCCGCGCAACAATCGCCCAAGACGAAACCGCAAAACTAGCGGCGCTGGAGGTGCCTCTGGAGGCGAAGGCCAACATCAGCAGCCTCAGCAGGTAAACTGAATTGCTAAATACAGCGAACCACATGCAGTTGGCGGGTGTGGCAGAATATTAGAATTGGTGGTGATCAAATGATGTCACAAACCTACTACATACATACTACATATATAAATATATATATCACCCACGTAAAACTATAAAGAGTAACGTTTACAAGTTCAGTTAAATTATCAACCGTTTATTGATATATCTTGCTTTGCAAAAATTTATAAATAATACTGCCAAACTGCAGCTGTAAATTTTAATTTTACAAAAGTCATCAAACAATACTCATTGGAGTATAATTTGGATCGGTCAACGTACATACATGCCCGGATCAAATATTCGTTAATGCAATTACTGCTCTGCATACAGTTTTGTTTTCATTTGTTAAATATATTCATACATGATTTGTTAATTTATAAACATACATATTTTCGTACTCATGCAGTAACCCACAGGAGCACCAACATAAACATGCATAACTCATAAATACTCTTGTTTGTTTTCTTAGATTTTATATTGATTTTTCTTTATTTTGTTTTCCTTTCGGTATAACCCTCCATTGTTTTACCCGAAATACTTCCTACGCCTCTGCAAAAAAAAAACGCCAACAACTTGAACAACTCAACCATCCACGTCCCGACATCCAAATATCCCGTCGCTATA